ATTTCAATTTTTTGCAGTGTGTCAATTTAATAACAGGAAACGCCAACTTGCCCAAATATATTAAGAAAATTTTTTAAAAAGTGCTTCAATAAGAAATACACGAAGAACACTCTGAGAGTGAAATAAACACATTTTTTTATAAACATTACCTTAGAGGCATTAATGCTGATACTGGCACTTACATCTTTTAGTTTATAAACCTAAATATAATTGTTAACTAGGCTTATTAACTTTTTTACTTTACTTTTTAGCTTTTCAATTAGGTTTTTACCTTTTTTTCTTGACTTACGGTATTATTTTTTTTTCTTCAAATTAATTTCTAGTACGTAATATATCATTAAAGGGCTCATCTAATTGGTTAAATGCCAAATTAAGGTGTACAGCCATGTAGCAGCATCTTTGCTGAATGGCTGATATAGATCTTATGCTTTTAGATGTCACTGAGGCACTGGGGGGACTCCATTTGTAAGGGGTATGCAAGTGAACAAAAACGCCCTATAAAGGGCTAACATGTCTTAATGCTTTTTCTTTAATTCTATCATGTGTTTAAGCAGTAATGTTTGTATAATTCAACCTGACTTTTAAAGCCTTTAAGCAGATATTTCAGGCCCAAACTCAAGCATCATCTCCGGATAATGTTAATTAATCAAAGCTGTGATTAATCAACAAGTAAAGTTCAAATATTCCAGATCTACACGTTTTCCATGTTTCATCAACCATGACAATAATCTACCAAACCCAATCCTTGAACTTTAACCAACTGCTCCCTGAACAGTGAATATACTTCAGTTTCCCCTGAAAGGAAGATGACTCGTCCCAAATTGTCCTTTTGTGAACAAACCCGCACCCTCGTAGAGCAAGTAATACAAGTATGATCACACACACACACACACACACTCACTCAGTGCCGGTGAAGAGCTGATGGGTCCGTATAGCAGGTCAGTGAACTGTGACTGTGATGTATTATGGATGAGAGGAGACAGGGGGTGATAATAGAGGAGCATCTCCATGAAACTGAAGAAGACGAGGCTGCAGAGCGTCTAAACTCGGTCATTACTCACCCTGATCACACACAACAAACAGCTGATCAGCCTTTTTGGATGAGAATCCTTTATTAACTAGATTTCCCTTCATTTGGCACCATTTTTGTGACATATTAAGGTTAAGCTATAGGTTTACCAGGGTTGGGTGTTTCTCTTTTTTTTTTAAAGGAGGCAGAACTGCACATGAGATTAAAGAGTTTATTTTATGAAAGGATGTAGATCAACTTTTTCAGAAACGATTCATTAAATATTTTAAAATATTTTTGCTCCTACATATAGTTTTTGTCTGGTGATAGATATTAAAAAGGTCCAGATAAACAACATGAGTCAAAGTTGTAAATGTATATTTGTTTGCATTTAATCTCAGAGGTTTTAGGTTAGGTTATAGGATATAAGAAACCAAATTAGCCAAATTAATAAAAAGGCATCTTACGACTTCTGATTATTCTGAACGACTTAATAAAAACCTATGAGAGCTTAATAAATCTGTCACAGACTGATTGGTCTAATACATTTTGTAACCAAAAAAAAAATACTTTAATGTTTTGACCTGGTGTTAAATTTAAATGCTAAAATAAAATAGCAATGCTTTCTCATTAATACTAGTTCAGAAAAAAAACATAAATAGTTAAAGTTTCCTCATTATTCAGGTTTACATTTTTCACATGGTAACAATCTCAGGTAGTGTACAAAGGTGCATAAGTGCTGCCACCTGCTGGTCCAACTGGTGTACTGAGGAGGTGTTCAGTTTGTTACAGACTGAAACTTAGTTTGATTTCATGCTAACATATTTTATTGCATACCATTTTCTCGGTTTAAGTCGTTTATTTCCTGTTGTGTAAAAAGAAATTCAGTCGTAGAAACTTTGCTAAAGCTGACATGTTAAAAAAATAAAATAACTCCCAAGTGGTGATAAATTATGAAAATGTTGCTTTAGAAATAGATTTCAGCACATTTAAAGGTTGCATATCATAGCATATCTTCCTTTTCAGCAGCTGAGGACGGTATAAAATCTATTTAAGATGGACGAAACTATGTCTGAGAATAAAGATGGGTATCAGTCCTGAATAGCATTGGCAAGAAAAGCCAAAGTATAAATCCATCCAACTTCCATCATGTTGTTCCTTCTGGGGTTGCGAGGGGTACTGGTGCCTATCTCCATCTGTCTACGGGCGAGAGGCGGGGTCCACCCTGGACAGGTCTCCAGTCCATTGCAGGGCAACACAGAGACAAACAGGACAACAACCATTCACACACTCACACCTAAGAAGAATTTAGAGAAGCCAATTAACCTAACAGTCATGTTTTTGGACTGTGGGAGGAAGCCGGAGTACCCGGAGAGAACCCAGTCATGCACTGGGAGAACATGCAAACTCCATGCAGAAAGACCCGGGACCGGGAATCAAACCCGGACCCTTTTTGCTGCAAGGCAGCAGTGCTATCCACTGATTACACACTCAAAGATTATATAAGCATTTTGTATAAAATAAGTGCATGTTTTAAATGTGAAGGTTTTTTGGTAGTACGTTTGAAATGTTATTCCAAGAAATCAATTCAGATTTTGCGAGGTCATTGACAGTGTGCTAAAATTAATTCTCCTTAGATGTTGAGAAAAGCAAAACAAAAGAAAGACAGAACTTTACTGTTAACCACTGAACAATGAACCATAATGAATTAACCAACATAATTTAGTGATGTCATCTGGTGATGATCTCAACAAGTCAATAAAACCATTAAAAACATGTTTTGGAGAGAAGCGTGCAGAACTGTCAAATCTGACAGTTTCCAGCACAAGATAAAACCCACCCACCAATTACAATTTAAAGGCAGATATTGGCTGAACAGGATGGCGGCAGGCTGGGGGTCAATTAACAAAGTACAAATACTACTTCTGACTTCTACTCATTACATTTTCACACAAGTATCTGTACTTTCTATTCCTTACATTTCTAAAGCAAACGTTATTCGTTACTCTTGGCTTCGGTTTAATGTTTATAAATATTTATTTCCCGTCATGTGCTCCATCCAATGCAGATCATTGGCTCTGCCCACATCTAGTGAAAACTAGTGTGATTGGATGAGTCATATAACGCAAACACTCATTGGTTAGCTAAAGGAAACCATCAGAAGCTAGCAGGTGTTCTTCAAACTGCTAACGTGAATTGTCTATGCCATGCTACAATGTGGGATTCAGAAAAAGATGTTGAAATGTCTGAAAGGTCGGACACAGGCGAGAGCGTATCGGGAGACGGAGACCAACAAGACATCCCTCATCCTTGGCCCTATCTCTAACAATTTTTCGAAATATTCGAAAAATTGAGCTTTTAATTCATATAGTTGCATGTGGCTGTTTTTTTGTTTTTTTTTAAGAGGTCAAGTTGATACTTCAACTTTTACCAGAGTGTTTTTAAACTGCAGTATCTATACTTCTACTTAAGTGACAAATGTGTTTAGTTTTGACACCACTGCAGATAATGGCTGAACATGCTGGTGATAGGCTGGAGGCAGGCTTGAGATGCCAGATTATGGATTAACAGTCGGGTTGAAGGCTTGGAAAGTGGCTTCAAAGTTAGCTAAATGCTGAACAGGCTGGTGGGTTTTTAGGATCGTACTTTTACAAATATAGAAGTTCATTCGCGTTTGATTCATTCTCCAACAGCATTCTGTCTTTAGTATGACGGATTATCTGTATAAAGTCAGAAATATGTTGCTCTAAATGCATTTTTGCAGCCAAACACATTGTACCACTGTGCATCATTTATATATGTTTAATAATTCTTCATAAAATGGTATAAAAAAACAGAGGGATTATAAATAGAAAGACGCAGAATTCTATACCTTTATTTAAAAAAAAATGACCAAAGCATCATATATATTCAGTAAAAATATGCACAAAGAAAAGTAGCTTTCTCCTGATTCTCTTACAAAACAATATTAGGATTAACTTTTTATAATAATAATATAAAAAAATTGAGTTTGCATTTTTAAATGAACTCCTGAAAACTGGACTTCATTAGCCGTGGACTGAGGTAGTAATCCCAAAAGGGTTTTTATATTAACTGTCAAGTTTCAAACGAGACAAATGGTTGGAATTAGACACAGATAGAATAATAAAAAATTATTAAAACTTCATTGATTTAGAGAAAATACAAGTTTCATTGCTTAAATCATCTACCAATAAAAGTATGATTAAAGTGAGCAGTAAAGTGTTAATTTGACTGGACTGACCAAAAAAAAAAAAAAAAAACTATAACCATTTTATAAACATAGGCAATAAAAAAATGTTTTAAATAAATATAAACATTTTGTGGTGTTTTCAAGTGGCATATAGAAACCCAAAAGGGAATAATTTAGTTTTAAGCCAGTTTTGTGATGGTTAGGCTTCCTTTGATCCATAAAGTGTCGATGTCACTGAGGGGCAGCACTCTGTGGGCGAAGTCAAACAGCTTCTGTCCGTCTACAAACACTCGAAGTCTGCTCTGTTCGCAGTGGAACTCCATCTGGGGGACAGAAAACAATTCAGTTCCAGTTCACGAATCCATAACTGCATCCAGGCACTGCAGCCAAATTTTTCCTCAGAGGTTCTGGTACCTTAAAGGGCTGATCCTTGATGAAGGGAAAAAACGGGACCGCTCTCTCCACCTCGCCCCAGGAACCCGACATGCAGGCTCTTCGCAGGACTTGTCGGTCCTTAAAGCGAACACAGAGCTCCAGGGCTACATTAGGGGGAGGCTCCTTGGATGTCCCTCGGCCACACGTCAAAGCAACGTAGAATCTAGCAGAAAGGAGAAAGATGGCAGCCAGATAACACGTATTATTACAGTATAAACACTTCCTGTTTTTCATTTGAGAAGCACAGAAGTTAAAAGTTTATGACCCTCGACACCTTTTTTAAAAGCTTTTACTGAAACCAGACATTTTCCTTATCTTAAACGTTCATGCTATGTCTAAGAGATTGCGTAATCGAAACTAACGCCTGCTGTTGTAATGTGTTGACTGTTCAATAAATAAAGCCTGCAAGCGTAGAGCAAGACGAAGATGCACAGAGGAATCCTAAAGCTCTGTATATCTTCCCTTTGCAAAGCACGGTCAGGAAAAATCTTACACTGTCTTTGT